TTAATGGGCAATAGCCACAAAGTAGACCAGTCCCAGGATCTATCCAGTGCATTCTGTATGGCCTCAGAACCCCAGGAACATTTACAACGTTCTATAGCTTAATGTCATCAGCAAACAATAGGGATGAGACTCAAAGCTCTCCGGGGAGGTCGTTTACGTAGATGGAGAACAGCAGAGGTCCAAGTCCTGTAGGACACCGCTAAGGACCGCTTGCCTAACGGATAAGCTGCGACCCACACTTACACACTGCTCTCTTCCCTGCAAGAACGTAGATACCCAGTAAAGTGCACGGCTAGATAAGCCGTAGGAGCTTAGCTTTGGTGATGGCCTCAAGTGCCGTACCTTATCAACTACTTTCCAGGAGTCTAAGAAAAGCACATCCGCTACGTGGCCATTGTTCATTGCCTCGGCCCAAGATTTACGAGCAATCAACAAGTTGGTTAGACAAGAAAACCTCTTCCGGAATCAGTGTTTTGCACTACTGAGTAGATTAAATCTAGTTAGGTGATCTTCCAACGATTCTCTCATCAGTTTTCCAAGCATTTTGACTACGGCGCTACTCAGACTGGCTGGCCTATAATTCGCTGACAGACTCCTGTCGCCAGAGGACAGCTTCCTTCCATTCAGATGGTAATGTACAGCTGTCATGTGACTTCTGAAACACTATCGTCAGCGGTCCGCTTACTTCCACCTCAAACTCATGCAGAAGGTTCGGGTGAATTGAATCAGGTCCAGCTGCTTTGGAAAGGTTCAGTTCGTGCAGCAGTTTAAGGCCTTGCGTTTCCATCACAGTAATCTCAGCTAAATAAGAACCCTGAGGTACTCTGGGGGCAACTGCAACGCCAGTCAACGGGGCCTCACATACAAACGCCCCTGCATACTCCACCCCAAGTACACGAGCGTTATCTGAGTCCGCGTGTGCACAATTTCCATCGGCCTGCATCAAAGTTGAAATTACCGCATTTGAACTACAACGTCTCCTAACATAAGCGAAGAACTTCGGAATTTCCAAAGCTACATCAGCCAATTCTTTTACGTAAAACAGCGGAGCTTTCCTCAAGTGTTGTTTACACCTATTTCTAGCCTCGCGGTATCGATCATAGGTGCTAGTTGGTGCAGCAGCACGGTAGGTCCTCCAGCACCTAGAACGCTTCTGGATCAGGTACTTGCCAGTGGTATTTTTCCACTGCGGCCGCGCTCGTGTCTACTTTCTCCTCGCAAGCTTGATGTAGGGAATAGACACTTCCGCGAGATAAGACATAAATTTATTCCAGGCCACCTGAACCGTATCAACCACCGAGACTTCGCAACGCAATCCAGAAGCCTTGCTACGCATTGCCTGATATTCAGCACGCCATATATTTGGAAAGGGCTCAGCGATGCTCTGGTGACGCTTAGTCAGAGTACACCTGAACGATAAACAAACATGCTCACTAGCACCTAAGGGAGAGCTGTAAGTGATATCACGTACGAAGTCTAGCGACTTAGCAAAAACTAGATCCAAAACAGACCGTAGTTGGGCCTCCATGTACCTAGTGGGGAGGTCCGCAAACTGATGCAACGGTACTTGTAACATAGGCTCAAGGTTTGCACCTGACAATCACTACCAACATTCTAACTCTCTTTGCTCTATCCCCACGCAACTATCGACTCATATCAAACGGATACTCGTACTTTACTTACTGGTGCAACGCTCTTGTCCCTACGCAGGCGATAGCAATCCACCTATACGGCTAATGATTCTATAGGACACTCAAAAGACATTTTCAGCATAATTATTGTTGCACAGTGTACATGCTTTTGTCTCAAGCCCAAATGTTATAACACAAGACATTAACAATATTCAATTCCATGCCTGTTCTTGCGGTCTTCTCTCGGTTGTCTCCCATTTTCCCTTTTCTCTGAGGTCCGAGACATCTTGGAGATCTGGGATTGGACTGAGGAACAATTTTGGCCCAAGACGGACGGAACAACCCACAAGGACTGACATGGAGGATGGTAAAACTCCGCAAGGACCAACCTACAATCACCATAACCCTTGTCCAGTATGGAGAACTGGACATATCCTCATACTCCCATACAGTATACATCTGAAAAATCTGGACAGCGGAAAATTGAAACTTTTGCTCACCTGGACATACAACAAGAAGAAAAATCGCGATGTCCCTCTCCTCCAGCGACCCCAAAAATCATGGCGACCCAGAGCAAAATACCCGTCCAACTAACAGAGGAAATTAGAAGCCATTACCCCGCGAAAAACCGAAGGTGAAACCAGTCGTCAAGCGGCTTTGCCAGTTCAACATTAATGTTCAAAATGCTTTACGGCAGTGCTGCAGGACGTGGTGGGTTTTCGCCTGGCAAGCGTTCTCCCTATAAAAAGCCACAAATGTCTGTTTAACAACACTGCGACGTGGCGGATGTGACTCGACACTGAATAAAGTCACAACCTACAACTACATACTGGCAAGTCGACTAGATTCACATATCAACTCTTCTTGACACCGTTTCAACTATACACGATTGAACCCGGAGTATCATCGTGATACACAACAGTTTTAAACCTTGATCATGCCTAAGTTGGTGCGTCTCTATGAAACTGAGAATAAACTATTTATTTATTTTACCATGGACATACGACCAATTTTCTACTATTACTGTCACAGTTGCCATAAAATGTTTGTACAGTTGTACATATCTGATCATGCCTCCATGGGCGTGCCTCGCATAGTCGAGAATAAAGTATTTATTTATTTATGAAAGTACCTTCCGTCGTTGCAAGAAAGATCTGCCCAGCAAAATTCGGGTGAGTTAAAATCCCCCTGTATGAAACACCTGTTTGGGGCTTGGGAGCGAATAAAGTTAAGCACATCTTTGGACGCACTCTTAGGGCTTCTATACACAAGTGCAACTGTAAGTTGAGCTGAGGAAGTGTTAATGAATACCGACAGTGCCTCGACAGTTTTATCTGCCGACTGAAACATGTCGGAACGTAAAACGTCAAGTCCATAGCTAACGCAAAGCGCAACGTCCCCGCCTGGTCGGCCAAAGAAGCGATCACATGTACATAGTGCGTAGTAATGCAGATGTACTTCACCGTCCGTGATGCCCTGAGACAGCCACGTTTCAGTGAATGCAAGTATACCGGGATGAGACCCATCTACAAGCAGACCCATCGCGCACATCTTATACCTTAGGCCGCGCACACTGCTTAGCACTAACTGAAGATACTCGTAACGTTCAGCCCTGGGTCGTGCGCTACCAGTACTGGCACTGGTAGGTCGGAAACAGGCCGCCGGCTGACCACCCGAAAACCCACCAACCGGAAACCTTGTTCACCGGCCGGTTTTGAGGTCTTTAATGGCCTCGTTAAGCTTCAGCCTATCCGCTAATGGGAAGTCTGGCTGCACGCTAACGTTAGTACCCTTCAATTTGAAGGCAAACCGCAACAGAGCGTTGCGTTCCTCCGGGGCGGATAGGACTACAGGAAGTAAGCACGGTCGAGGGTTTGGGGCGTTAACTGGGACGTTACCCAATCTAGTCAGCTTCCTGACCATTTCTTCGCAACAGCTGCGTAACCTCCTCCACTTCCGTGACACAAGCGTTACGATGAGGTCGCCGTATGTCATACAAATCGCGCCTCGTTAAACGAATGTTACATTGAAGACGCACAAATGCACGCATCTCCTGCGTGCGACGAAACGTCTTCATTAAGTTAAGTACCATGCTTCCTTGATCCGCTGTTAGCCGCTGGTTTCCGCCTTACAGCCAAGGCTTCCCCACGTGAAAACTGTGCGAATGCCAAAGACAGGCGTTTCCAATCTCGTAACATTCCCCTTAAAAACCGCTGAGAACCGCGCAGGGCAATTGTAACACCGGTACCTGTTAAAATATATTCATCAGGCGGATACGCAACACTTAACGCTTTCCAGTAACATTCGAACGATTACTGTGCACGCACACAAACTGAATATATAGGTACTGGCATCATTCCGGTAGCACCTGTCCAGTCTCCCATTGGTAAGCTTTCGCAGTTTTAACACTCCGACGAATGAACGACGTTGCCGTTTCCATCTGAAAAAGTTTCAGCCCCTAATTCATCGATGAAAAGTCCACATATGGACCCTTGAAGATACGTCGGAATGTACAAGAGTAATCCACCATGGCTGCTTTCGCTAGAAGAGGGAAAATGATTAACCACCGTAACCCATTTAAACCGCTCAATTTATTGATTTCTGATCCACCTCTTAGCATATTCACAAAGACGATAACAGCATAATAAACACACACATGCGTCTGAGGTTCCAAAACTTTCATTTATCAACATACAACCCTGTATACCACAATCACAATGCCCAAAGATCATTGGTCTCGATTGGCGGATCCGACGCTCCGGTGGAAGCTGCGTATGCTCCCGGTTATAATCAATCGAATTGAAAACAAACGACAATATCCAATTGAGATCTTACGGCTTTTTAGGATGCCAAATGTAACATTTGACATTATAAAGCGCAAACGCGCTCAGTAAGCGTTTGTTTGATTACACAAATTGTGAAGGTCGAGGCATTAAGGAACTTCGGTACGAATGCGAACTTTGGAAAATGATACTGGGTCTGGGTTGATTGCGCAATGTCTGGTGCACTTGTATTTCAGCTGCATAGTATTTTGAAATACAGCATTGAGATAATTCAATGACACATCATTTGCCAATAAGGTAAACATGTATAACAACATAATATACAAGGACAATATAATCAAGGTTTTAAAATTTTTAAATAGAAGTAAGCTTAAATATTTTGCTGTTAAATTAGTCTACGTAACCTTGCGCGTTAGAATTTATGCTTACTTCTTTTCAGAAGAACCAACGTTCTATAAAGCAGCGCTGTAAATCAGGGAAAATTTTTTATAATTATTAGTGAGTATACTTTGCTGCTTCGTCCAATTTTTACTGCAGCGCTCCTGCCTGACGAGCACTTTTCGTCCTTGTGCAATCATACCCTCCTATGACGGTGGCCTATTCATCTGCGGTAGCCACGGCTACATATTCTACCTTTCTTCACTTGCTATTTATGTAAAGCCAAATGTCGAATTGTTTATTTAATACCGTTTCCTAGGTGGAAGGGGAGCGTTTATCGACTGATATGGTTTGAACTGCTTGTGTTTATGGGGCTGTACACGGTGATTTCGCTAACATATCGGTATCTGTTGACCGGTGTTCTAAAGACGTAAGTTATTTTAACAATTAGTGTGAGCTTTTGTTGAAAGAACGATTGCGATTTTATATTGTGCGGTTAACTATATTACTAATAGAAATATTAAATTTGTAGTAGTATAGCACCTATTGTACGTGTTTTAGTTATTCCACTAGCCCTTGAATTGTTGCCCACAAAATACCATAGCAGTAAATGACTTTTTCATGGATATATACCAGGTTGTATATGACGAACACAATCCTCAGCTTTAAGATTTCCGCTACCCAAGATTAAAGATAACACATAAAAGAGAGAGAAGTTCATCTAAATGTAATTGCATCTACCATAGCGGGCCGTTACTTGTTTCTGTTAAATGAAATCTTTTAATCTTTCAGGAAGACTGACCATTTGGCTGCGACAGCAATCCCCTGTTCACACCGATGGACGGCCAGTCGCCATATTTGAGCTAGTTTTTGATCATTTGCAGAGTCAAAAGTAGATATGAAACTAAATAACGTGATATATCCAGCTACCTTTTTACTTAACTCTATATAACTTTAGGACTGCTCTACTTTGCCTACCACACTTTACTTTTAGTTACTGCGTAATTTCAGTCAGCGGTATTAAATATTTGATGGTCCTGAGTTTTCAACATTCGTGCCCACGGTCGTTTCAATTGGACTATTTTTTAGAGGGCATTTGATCACTCGAAAACATTTTCGGTTTAGCTCAATGGATATAGTGTTTTGTACTTACGACTTGGGGTTCAGTTTGGTTTAGTTTTGACGGCATTTCAAACCAAGAAAATTAAATTCACGGCATGAAATAACGATACGTTGGAAGAAAGTTTCAGTGACACTAATTTGTCCAAAAAGTGCCCAGATAACGGCCATTTGCCTAAACGTTCGGCGCTCATGCATCACAACCGGTAAATTCGTCGAGCACCTTTCGGTCGTTCGTGTCATGTGGGCCGTTGGGGGTCTTATTTCTTTATGCTCCTATACTGAAGAACCTAGCATCCCGAAAAGCAAAAATGCGTTAGACGTATGCTACCGAGTAAGCAGGGCCGAGCTTGCCAGAGTCTGGATCATAGAACGGTGTGTATTAACTCCAAAAATAAAACTGGACCGAATCAAAAATTTGCCATCTAACGAGAAATGTTCCTGTACTGTGCAGCCTATACCGCTAGGTTGACAAGCTAAACAAGAACTCAAAATGTGCCACAATGTTAACAGCCTCTAATAAAAGCACTTTTTACTGTCATCGATTGTTTCATTGTTCATTAAGTTGAGTTCATTAAATTGTCGAATGCAGGAGGGAAAACATTTGTCATCGATTCGGCAGCATACTGGGTTTGATGCGCGCCGTTACGTTATGATGTTTTTCGAGAGTTCATCGCAGTTGCATTGACAACCGCAAGATTTTGACATTCTCAGCCAGCGGTTGTGTAACAGCCGCTTGAAAATGTCTTCGGATGGCGCGGCTATAATTTCTTTCGGTAGGCCGCTCTAATCCTTTACTACTCTATTGAACAGGGTGACCCATATGCCAACACTGTGTCTACTTTCTAATACAGCTTTCATATGTGAATTTGTAGGGAACAGACAGTGTTGGGCCAGAAGAATTGTTTCGCCTTACTTCTGCGTTCTACTTGGTGGATGCGCCTGGTGTAGATGAGATCATCCCGGCGCCGACGGAACTCCAGGGATAAAAGAGTTAGATGCTGGAGTCGAATGAACTGTATATGATCAAAAAGCACTAAAAGTGCTTTCAAGGCACGCTTCGGAACATATTCTAGTAGAGCAAATTCAAACTTTGTGGGAAGGTGGACAGCTTGAGGCCATATTTCTTAAACTGGACGGACGAATGAAGTGATAAAATGTCAAAAATTGCGAGACTCCTTCGAGCAAACTATCACCTTAAAGCACCTACCGGTCTCCTTCCAGTGGCTACCTTTAGCACGCCATGCTAAGTTCTAAGGTCAGAAGACACGCTAACCTTGAGCTTGCTCACTTGTATGGTGTTACTGAGAAGCAACCCACCAATCCGGTAGGCGCCGTACGAATCGGTGCTACGCACTCGGAGAATAGCGTATGTACGTCGGTTTACTGGCAATTCCCACTTGATGGAGCAATCGTGTAGGCGGCCTAGAGCTCATTCTTTCTCTGTCCGCATCCTCAAAGATGGATACTGCTGACCATAGCTGATAGTCATCGGCATAGCTCAAACAATCAGTCTAAAGTGCAGTCGGCATATGTTAGTGCAGAGTCCGAAGAGCTCTGGTTCAAGCACGGATCGCTGGAGAAAGCCACTAGTCATAGGCATAGATGCTGAGAGGAGTTGCTTTACTTCTACGCGCATTGTCTTACCTCGCAAGGAATCGGTAACCTAGAAGAAAAGTTCACCTGCAATGCTAATTCCCCGGAGTTTGTGTAGCAGTCTTACGTGTAGAATTTTATCGATGGCTTTAACGAAATTAATGAATAGTACATCAACCTTCTTTCAGATATCCATGGCTAGTTTTCAAGTTTTTCTAGCAAGGAGTAAGTTAGAGATGCATGAGCCTGCTCTCCAAAAGCCATGTTGAGCGGGAGAGATGAGGTTTAGCTTCTCACAGTGTAGCTGGAATGCGTGCTTGAATAATTGTTCTGTGGTTTTGCACACAATTTATGTCAGGCATATTGGTCTGTAGTTCACTGGGTCTTATTGGTTTCCTTAATTGTATTTGTGCAAGACGTTACCTGCTTTCCAGCTTGTGAGTAGGCCGCCGCCTTCAAGGGAGTGTCAAAATAATTAGCAGAGATTGGTGGCGATGAACTCAACTATCGTCTTGAGGAAGGTAAGGTCCAGTCCAGCCGGGACTGGGGTGGAGTACGGGTCCAATCTGAGGATCAGCTTAGTGACCGCAGCGGGGTTACTTTTATCTTGCTTCAGGGAGTAGTAGTGTGAAACTAAACGCTTTGGGTAGCGGAGATTCCACTATAACGAGGAATATTGCGCAACCAGTAGATTTGCTTTTTCATCATCACCGTAGAGAACGGTGCCTTTCTTAGAGTAGGATAACGTGAGGATTTCACTATCTGTTTTGGAATTTTGCTTCCAGTAAGCAAAACGTTGTTGAGATAGTGTTTGGATTCCAAAGTCAGTCGATGTTCATATAGCAGTATTTTGTCTCTTTCATTTTAGAGTGCATCGGTTGCTGTCCGTACTATGTTAAACATACATTTAAAAAATAAAATTGCACTGGGTGCGGACGATATTTACTACCAATAATTGTTTACTGTTCGCTTGTGAGTTGGAGATTGTAGATATCACAGTTAACTCGGATGCGATTCACCAAACCATATAGTGCAATGGTGAGCATGGGTATAAAGTCGTTCAGTTGGTAGGGCACCACTGTTTTTTCAAGCTTATGCATCAAGTACATAAGTGTTTGCAGACAGTGTAGCCAGTCGCCCTAATGCTAGTGAGCTAGAGGGAAATCTGATATAAATATGCTTAAACGGAAGCATATATAAGAGAAACGTAAGCAGAACTATTTATAAGTTTTGAAATAGAAAATACATGGTATTCAGCTTAAAACCACGTTCTACAAATTGCCTATTTATCTGATTCCATATCGTAAAATATCAATAAATCCCACTCGTTAATCACTGCTTAGGTATGTGATCAGTTTACAGAAAAATAATGCTCAGCAAAGTAGTAAAGCTTTATGTGAGAACATGGCACAACTCACAAACGCATTTCAAGCATAACAGTTGGTTGTCAGGGGCTATTGACTTTGCGATTCAGTACTTTTCTAAACGTTTTGTTCAAATTAGGCTATATCGTAACGGACTGCGCATGCTATGGGCGTTCAAAGGTAGCTTCGGCCCATGGTCTGAAGAGGTTGCCACTCGCCTCTTCTCTTCCATCATTAGACCAATGCTAGAGCACGGTTCGCCCGCCTACTTTCCAATCACCCGAGGCGAGGCACAAAATATCGAACGGGTCTAACACGTTGCTACCAGGCTGATCCCGAGTTTACGTGGCTTTTGGTATAAAGATCGGTGCGAGAAACTGGGACTCTACACCTTGTCCTACCGTCGGGTGCGAGTCCACCTCATTATGACACTGTATTCTACATCTCGGTGACTTTCCAATGCTAAGGCCAATGCTGCCTTTACGAGGGCTATGCAGCACACGCGGACACGGATACAAACTTGTCGTGCCGGATGTGAAATGTGTTCCCCACCCACTGTGCTTCGAACGGAGAGTGGTAAACATTTGGAATAGTTTACCTGAACTTGTGATTAAGGAAACATCTGTGCAACAGTTCAAAACGTTGTTAGATTTGTATTTTGCCACTATTCGATTCAGAGAACGACTGCACACTTACGACGACATATCACATTTGTGAATCCTGAAATATCGTAAGTCAGATATTTTAAATATTACATGAGAACAACAACGATATTCACGGTCGACAACTTTTATAACATTTTTCATCTTATTTCGAAAGAGTCGTACAGAATTCATTTCTAGTTGCTCTATAATACAGCATTCAGTATTCAGTATTCAGGCTGTCTCATTAAAGGATTTAGTTATTACTTTTCAACCTTTACTGGGACCCATTCATGGGTTACATCAACTGCTAATTCTGAGCCGTTTAGTCTATATTTATTAGTATTAGCACTTTAAATACAAAAGTTTGCATGTCATAGCTGAAGTATCATGCAATGGCTGCCTAAGTGAAGGCGTGGTGTTGAGCCTACTAAGCTTTGAAACAGACGCAATAGCTCAGCTTTTTAATAAAACGACCTAATTGCTAGTAACTTTCTGCAACAGGCCTCATCCAACTCGCCCTTCCAGTGCTTGTTATAATAGCTAAAAGCATCAGCCAAATAAAAGACACGTGCTTTTGGTTAGCCAGAAATGCTAGCATTGGAAATAAGGAGCACAAAACTATGCAAGGAAAAGCAAGCCTACGTGACCGGCATGAGTTGTCATATTTTAAGTAAGCAAAATGACTTTGGATAATGCAATGTTGCTAG